TATTAATTCTAAACTATAACTTTTAAGAACAATTAAACTATAAATAAACTAGCAAAAACTATGCAATGTTTTAATGTATCTGTGTCTAAGATCAAAGAAAGGTCACGACAACATATTTGTTTCGGTAGATAGAAAAATGCATTAGCGAAAAAATCACGTTACAGAAAAAAGCCATACAAAAAATTGTCTACTTTTAGCACAACATTAAAAAAATAGTTACATATTTATTATACTATTTTACTGTTAACACAATAATTATATATTTATTATATAATTTCACTATTAACATGCATCCGGCACATGCAAGGTGAGAAATCTTTTTACCTCGTTTGTGTTCTGTCAACTTTTCTAGATATAAAAATCCTAAGATTATACTACCTAAGTCGAATACATCTGGGAAACAAACAACATTACACTAAATTATAACTTAAAAACAACAATAATTATTGTTGTTTTTCTCTCCCAGGCAGAATGTTTTTCATACATATGAACAGCCCATTAGAACAATGTTAAATATTCGTTTTGCAAATTTGTCCGAGTTTTATTTTTTTGTTATTATAAATATTTATATAACGCAGTTTTCAGAATTAATGTAATCAAATAAATAGTTTGAAGTGTTTTGAAGAATTTCAAAGGAAAAAAATTGTTTCGGTACCGTTTTTATGATTTCGATAATATCAAAATATTTCGATGCAAATAATAGAGATTCGAAAATGAAATATTGCTTCGGTGCCATTTTTAAAATTTCAAACGCATAAAATTTTTTGACACAAATTATAGAGATTCGAAAGTGATAAAATGTTTCGGTGCCATTTATAGAATTTTTAATATAAAATATTTCGATACAAATTATAAAGTTTCGCAAGTGAAAAATTCTTTCGGTAAATTTTCGATAATGTCTGGATAGAATATCGATAATATCTGGATACAATAATCGATATCGATAATGTCTGGATACAATAATCGATAATATCTGGATACAATTTTCAAGGTTTCGAAAGCTTTAAAAATTGTATCAAGATATATTTTTAAAAATTTCGGAGCAATATTTAGGATTTCGACACTTGAAAAATGTATTGATAGAATATCGTGAAATTCGTAAAGCGAAAATCGTTTCGGTTCAAAATTAAGTAATTAGAAATCGTTTCAAACTTACCGAAACAAAAATTGAGTTTCAAAAAGTTTTTTTTAATCGAAAACTCAACTTTTGCAAAAGTGATCAACCCTCTTTTTAATGATAAGTTTTATTAGTAACAAATCATTATATTCCACAAACTATTCCTAATTGTCAGGTTGGTATTTTTTAACTTAATTAATACTATTTTTTTGAGCTAATTTAAAGCGCTCGTATTAACACGTGGTCAGGATAATATGAGCATTTTGCTATTTTTTAAAAACCACTGTGTTTTTAAGAAAAAGTTTCGAGTGCCCAAAAATGAATCATGTGTAGTGTTCCCCTAAAATTGTTTATTTGCAAAAATTTTGGATCCAGCATAATTATTTTTGAAAAAATTTCAATTTTTGCTTGAGGCACTCATAATACTTTAAATGGTTTAGCAAACTGATTTGAAAAATCATTTTAAAAATTTTTTCTTTTTAAATTTAGACAAATAATAGAACTTTTGAGCTTTACCAACCATAACAAGATTATTGGGTTCTTCCATTACATCCGAATACTAATGTTTCAGTATTTCCTCCATCATTTAAAATGTAAATTTTGAATATTTTCTCGGAGATATTTAAATAGCACGGAATCAAAAAAGAAATCATATCTTTATTTATATATATAAAAAAAAAATGGACATCACAATGAAAAACATTGAAAAAATAATTTCAAGTAAACTTGAGGAGCACAAAAAAATTATCCTAAAAGAAACGAAAAGATTATTAAAAGACCAGGAAAAATCATTTACCTAAATTATCAGTGCAAATCTCAAAATTATTACAGATAGATTGGACATGCTAGAGAAAGACATTAATTACAACAAATGTAAAATATCAAACATAGAAAAAGACTTATGCGACATAAAAGACAGCCTAAATTTTCAAGAAAATGATATTTCGGAAAAAATATCACAAATAAAGAAATACTATGACAAAGAAATCAATTCATTATACATTTAAAATTTTCATCTCAATAAAATAAGGTTTACAATGAGAAAAACGATCAGCAAAGTTAATTATGCGAATTGCTTGTTTCTGACAGCGATAAAGACGAAGTAATTTACTTTTTTCAGTCTTCCCCAGGCAATATTAGCGTTATAAGGCAATATTGCCTTAAGTGTTTCTTATTGAGATAAGTTCGAGCTTTGTACAAAACTCCAATGTTTTTAGAGACTTTAGTGCATATATAGCTAATATGTTGATTCCAATTAATGTTCTCATCGAGATAAACACCTAAAAATTTAATAACGGAGTCTCTTTTAATTTCAATTTCATCAATAAAGATTGGAGGCAAGTTTAAGGGTAAAAAAATTTTTTTCCTATTCGAATGAAAAAGAGTCCATTTAGTTTTGTCAGTATTTAAAGTTAATTTGTTGGATTTGAACCAGTGGGATAAAAGTTTAAGTTTTTTATTCACTGTGGCAAAAAGTTCGCTAATATCGCTCTTAGAGATGAATAAATTGGTATCATCAGCAAACATGATGCTCATCAGATTAGTTGCTTTATTTAAATCGTTTATATAAATTAAAAAAGGAGAGGTCCGAGGATTGAACCTTGTGGAACTCCACAGGTTATACTTAAACAATTGTTGTGATAGTTGTCATTACCAACAACAAATTGTTTTCTATTTGTTAAGTAACTTCTGAACCACCTTAACGCTTGGTTATTTACTCCATAGTATTTCAGTTTTTTGAGTAGGATGTGATGGTCAACCGTATCGAAGGCCTTTGATAGGTCGATAAAAAAACCTAGTGTATATTTTGATTGTTCAAACGATTTTGAAATTTCATTTACAAGTTGGATAATTGCATGCTCTGTTGAGCTATCCTTTTTAAAACCAAATTGATTAACATAGAGTAGGTTATTTTTGTCAAAATGTTTATATATTCTGTTGTACATAATTCTTTCTAGGATTTTTGAAAATACAGAGAGCACAGAGATGGGGCGATAATTAGTTATTTGGGATTGGTCACCATCTTTATAAATAGGTGTAACTTTGGCAATTTTTAATTGTTCTGGAAAGATTCCTTGTTTAATTGAGGCATTAAAAACTTTGAAAAGAACATCTTTTAGTTGCTTAAAGCAATCTATTATCACATTTCCATCTATTTCGTCTGGTCCACATGATTTATTCTTTTTAATAGATTTGAGCGCCTTTTCAAGTTCTTCAATTGATAAATCAGAGGGTAGCTCATCAGAGCATATGCACTTCTCCAAGAATAATAAAAAGTCACTAAACAAAGTTCTTGTGATAGGAATCTTATTTGATAGTTTAGGACCTATTTCAGTAAAAAATTTATTAAATTCATGTGATATAGCGTTTGGTTCAAATATGCTAGTGTTTTCAATTTTAATTATTTGTGGCAGAAAACCAAAGCATGATTTTTGTTTTCCTATAATTTCCTTCATTATTTCCCAAATGCGCTTGGTGTTTTATTTGAATTTGTTAAGTAATTCCGAGTAATATTTTTTTTTTAAGTTTTTACGAATTTTCTCAAATAAATATTTATAGTTTTTGTAAATTTTTTCATTTGCATTTGTTTTTGTTTTTAGAAAATTTATATATAACTTTTGTTTGATTTTGGAAGATTTTTTAAACCCCTTGGTAATCCAAGGAGAATTCAAACTCTTAGGTTTTTCTATTATTTCAACTACGGGAAAGTTAGCGTCGTATACAGAATAGAAAGTTTTGAAGAAAGTTTCACATATGTCGTTTGCATTATTGTTTATGTTAATATTATTCCAATGGAGTAAGGATAGTTGGTCTTTGAATAAATTAAGGTTATTTTGATTAATGATACGTTTCTTCAATACTTTTTTGTTGTCAATGTTTTTTGCTGTATATGTATCAATTGTTACAAAAATGGGAAAATGGTCTGTTATATCAGTTTTTAATATACCTTTTTTTATACCCTTATTAAAAATATCAGTTGAAATAATATTATCGATTAAAGTCGCTGAGTTTATAGTTACTCTGGTAGGGCGATTAATGAGGGGGATTGATCTTGTTTCAAAAAATGTGTCATAAAAATTTTTTACTTTATAGTCATTGTTATAAAGAAAGCAATTCATATTAAAATCCCCAAGCAAAATATTTTTTTTCTTTTCGGTATCGCCTTTTTTAATGACGTTATGCAAAAACATGCTAAGGTTTTCACTCATGCCAGCAGGTGGCCGATAACAACAGCTAATTAATAAGTTTTTTGTTTGGTTGCTTTCAATTTCAATTGTTAAGACTTCTTTGTCGCTATCAGAAATGCTCAAATCGCCTCTAAAAATAAGCCTAAGTGTTTCGTGCACATAAATTAGTACTCCACCACCTCGTTTATTTATTTGTCTCTCCAAAGAAATAATATTAAAATGCGGAATTTGAAAATGACTATTTAGATCTTTTGATGTAATCCACGCTTCTGTTAAGCATAATATATTAAAAAGGTTTTTCGTTTCTTCTATTAGATTTAAAAGTTTTTCAAAGTTACTATTTAGACTCCTTATATTGAGGTGGAGAATTCTAATTTGATTCGAATTTTTGTCAATAACATTCTTAAAAAGATACTCTTCTAGTTCGCTTGGAAAAATATACGAACAATCTGAAAAAGTCTCACAATAAAAATTATTGTCGGGATCTGAGTTTTCGTCCTGGGAAAAAAATTCTTTTTCGAAAAAATTAAACGCGAGAGATTCAAAACTATTTAATGCAGCCACGATTGTTTTATATATGTTTAAAAAAGTTCTTTTTAAGAGTGTGAGTTAGTTTACTTTTTTCTATTGTTATCATAAAAAGAATTTTTAAAACAAATAATTTTATCATACCGAACCGTTTAAACGTCTTTGTTTTAACGTTTAAACGTCTCTCCGTTTAAACGTCTTTGTTTTACGTCAATAAACAATTTTTTCCTGATGGCAACGGTTTCGAGTGAAAAGTCTTCGTTAACGAAAATGTTTGTTCCTTTTATTCGATGTAGTTCTTTCAGTATTTTTACTTTATCTTTATATCGTTGAAGGTTGAGGACTATTGTCCGAGGTTTTCCATTTTTCTTTTGACCAGTGCGATGGGCACGCTCAATTTCAATGTCTTCAACACCAAGTTTTTGTTTGAAAAATAAGTGGACTTTTTCTTCTGTTTGTCCCCAGGTTTCTTTTTCGTCTTCGTATAATCCATCTATTCGTAGATTATTTCTACATGTACGATCTTCAAATTTTCGATGTTTTTCTTTTAAAATTTCGTTTTCGATTAATTCCTTTTCTAGTTGTTTGCTATTGTATTCGATTTTTTTATCAATAATGCTTTCGTTAAAGTTTATGCTATCGCTTATTTCTTCAATTTCTTTTTCAATTTTTTTGATTTTTATTACATTTTCATTAGCATTGGTCTCAAGCTTGTCCAATCTTTCGTTTAAAATTTTCAGATTTCCACTGATTATGCCTAGAACTGTTTGTTCGTGTTTTTTAAACATAGCTTCGGTTTCTTTTTTAAACTCATTAAACATTTCTTTTTTAAACTCACAAAACATTTCTTTAAACATTTTCTTTATTTCTTGAAGAGTCAATGCCATAATGATTTACAAGGATGCTGAATTGATTTATAAGAAGATATGTATTTAAATGTTTATATGTTTTTAAAACTTTCTTTAAAACGCGTCTGTTCGCTTCAACGTTTTAGCGTGATTCTAAAACAACTTACTACTCTAAATTACTTAAAAAAACAAATGGAGACATGAAAAAAACATGGAAAGAAATAATCAGGAAAAAAAACAAAAAACAAATAGTTTACCAGATAGAATCATTATAAATGAAACCGAACACGATGATAAGAACTCAATTGCCGAACACTTCAACAATTTCTTTGCAAACATAGGCCCAAACATGGCGTCTAAAATTTTAACTACAAATGACTCCTTTGAAAATTACCTTACAGATCTAAACAGCGAACTAATTTTCAATGGATTAAGCTATGAAGAACTTGAAAATGCAAAAAACTCTTAAAAAATTAACAAAGCACCAGGAATTGATGAAATTTGTAGTAATGTAGTAATAAATATCTTTCCGATAATAAAAAAAAACCCTATTCGAAATATTTAAATCTTCAATTATAACAGGAACCGTTCCAGAGAAATTAAAAATTGCAAAAACTGTACCTATATATAAAACTAGAGAACCATATTTACTTAACAACTATAGACCAATCTCAATCCTTCCTGTATTCTCAAAACTTTTCGAACGAATAGTTTATAATAAACTGTACATATATTTAACAAACAATAACATTTTAAATAAAAAACAGTTTGGATTTCAAAAACAACATGCAACCGAACATGCAATCATAGATCTTGTAAATAGCATCAACTACTCATTTGATAATAATGAATTTGTTCTAGGAATCTTTATAGATCTATCAAAAGCAATCGATACTGTTGATCATGAAATCCTGCTCAAAAAAATGGAAAAATATGGCGTAAAAAATGTTGCATTACTCTGGTTTAAAAACTTTTTGCTAAACAGACAACAATGTTTAAATACTGATGAAAATATCTGTTCAAAAATGCTAAAGATCAAATGTGGCGTTCCCCAAGGTTCCATTCTAGCGCCCTTACTATTTTTAATATACATTAATGATCTTCCGAAAGCCTCAAACAAACTTGATGTCATAATGTTTGCAGATGACGCTAATTTATTTTATTCATCCCCGTCAATTACAGAACGTTTTGAAACAACGAATATTGAACTCAAAAAACTTAATATTTGGCTAAAATCTAATAAACTAACTTTAAACACAAAAAAAACTAATTACATCTTATTCCATCCAAATCAAAAAAGAAAAAAACTACCAAATATATTGCCATTGCTAAGAATAAAAAACAAAAATATCGAAAGAACCACAACAACTAAATTCCTAGGTTTACTTATTGATCAAAATATTTCATGGAAAGCCCATATTGACTATTTAAATACTAAAATAACCAAAAACATTGGCGTGCTATACAAAGCTAGACCAATGTTATCCCAAGGAAATTTAAAACATCTTTATTTTTCATTTATACATACCTATTATTATACATATGGTAATATAGCATGAGTAATATAAAATGAAGTATTTTGTGAAACTAGATACATTGTAAAACGAAAATACAAAAAATATTACAAGTACAAGCGGTTTCTTGATGACAAGACCATTTGGTCTTGTGCAAGTTTCCCGCGTTCTTTTAATATTAATGATACCCTACAATCATATTTTTTGTATTCTATAAAACTGTGATATATTTTTAGTATTATTTATTTTAAAAACATTATAACTTTGTACCAATCATGTAGAATCACAACATTATAAAGATAAAAGAACAAAAAAAAAAAAAAAAAAAAAAATTATATCTTCATTTACAAAGTTTGTTATCAAACTGGTCATTGTATCAAACGGTGCTAGTTTCAATACAAATTTACCACTTGTTTGTCAAAGTTTGTGTTTTGGAGTTCTTTAATTAAACTTCAAATGTCAAGTTTTTTTTATAATTGTCAAACTTAAAATTTTTATTTTATTTTTATTTTATTTAAATTACTTTAATGACACTATTATGACTATTTTATGGCTTTTAAGTGTTTTTTAATTCAGAGATATCTGTCATAAATAAATTTAAGTTTTATAAAGGAACAGCCGAAAATAATTTTTGCACCGGCACTTTTTATAGAACGAGCAATTATGTTTTTACGCTTTATATTTTAAAAAACCTAAAGTCATAAACCTTTCTTTTTATTTAAGCAAAATGTTACAACATAAAATTTAGGCGCATTACCCACAAACAAAACACCTCAATTAAAGTTACACCTATGACAAGATTTTGAAAGCATATAAAATTTGTATAATAATATGTTTCAGATATTTTAAAATCCCATAAAAAACATTTTAATTTCTAAAAGTTGTATTAAAATAGGATTTGGACAAAAAAATCTTTTAAACAGTAAAAAATATATTTCAATATACAATTTACAAGACTTATTAAGCGTCTCTAATTAAGAAGTTTCCCAGTGGGCACGGTACGCTTTTAAAACGTTCTTTGGACATTTTAATAAGATTTAAACTTAAAAAAAAACGTCTAAAGAACGTTTAAAAAGCGTACCGTGCCTACTAGGTTGGCTTCACAAAAAAATGCGATTTTTTTTTAAGTATGCTGCAATATTTTGCTTAACTAAAAACAATGGTTTGGGCTCAATAGCAGGGTAGGCATTCGTCATTTAAAGATTCCTAAAAAAAGCTTAGGATAACATTAAAATGAACGCTGAACTTCCTTTGTTTTGGCAAGAGGCCATTGAAGCAATAACTCAAAGTATCTCGTAAATATTGCCATGGTTATACTCTATTGTGATATATCACAATTAGGCATTACCATGGTTTTAAAAATATTTATTTTTTAAATGCCATATATAATTTTTTTAACAAATGAATCAAATGTGTTTTTTATAAAATATAAAAAATTAATGAGCCTTATTTTCATATTATTTCAATTATTTTTCAAATGCTGAATAATAAAAATATTTGTATGAATTAAATGCAATTTACAATAGAAATCAATTTAATATAAATGTAAACCCTATAAAGAATTCAATTAATTTTAATTTTGAAATTTCTTAAAAATGTGCTAAAAAAGTTTAGCATAAATGGCATAAATATAAGAAGCAATAGTTGAGTTATTAATTTTCAATTAGCAATTCAAACAACTCTTACAGTAGAAATTATACAAATTATTACAATTAATAGTTTTTAAAATTTAATATTTTAAAAGTTATTAAAAATAGGAAACTGTAGAGTACAATTTTCTATTGCAAATGACTCTTGAACTTTTAGTTGTAATAATTTGTATAATTTCTACTGTAAGAATGGTTTGAATTGCTAATTGAAAAGTTGACGCGACGCTTAGTACGTTGCAACGTAGTGTATTCAAAACGGTACAATTGTCTGAAATGTAGACAATTGTACTGTGTTGAATACACTATGTTGCAACGTACTAAGCGTCGCACTCCTAATAAAAAAAAGAAATAGGTTAATAATACGAGAACCATAAAATATTTTTAAATAATTTTTACACAGGACATCATATATTTATATTTATAGACAAATATAAAAAAAATTATTTAAAAAAAAAACGGTTTTTTTTCTTCTATTCTGGATTAATTTAGTTTACCGTTTATAAAAAGTTGTAAACCGATAGTTTTTTTCACTGAACATTAATGCATCTTTATTTAATATATCATTTTGTGACATTATAAATATAATGAAAAAGGTTTCAGGAGAATAACCTGAGTCGGTTTTTTATACAGTTCACACATATAAAAATGAATTGCAGTATCTTACTACAGAGGTAGCCAGAATATTTTTTTACATATGAAAAGTCGATTAGTTGTGTAAAATTTGTATCAAATAAAAAACTGGTTTCCTCTGTAGTAACATGATTCAGTTCATAATTCTTTGTGGACTAAAATAAACAAGAAAAAACTATTTAGTAAAAACTTTTTTTAACTTTTTTTAGTTTTAAATGAATTTAATATACCATTAAAATGATAATATGTATGTATGTATATATATATATATATATATATATATATATATATATATATATATATATATATATATATATATATATATATATATATATATATATGTATATATATATATATATATATATATATATATTATATATATATATATATATATATATATATATGTATATATATATATATATATATATATATATATATATATATATATATATATATATATATATATATATATATATATATATATATATATATATATGATAGTATGTACATATATATGATATATATATATATATATATATATGATATATATAGATATATGTATATATATATGATAGTATGATGCAAAATTTTGATTTTTATCACAAGCAATTCGAAAATTTACGAAAAGCCTGTAGTTTTTTAACTCTAAAATTCCCCCTCTTAAAAAAGGAAAATTAAAAAAAAGTTATTAATCTTTTTTTAATTAAAAACTACAAAGCTAATTCCGTAAAAAAGTATTAAAAAAGTTAAAATTAGAAAAACCTTAAGAAATGTAAGCAATTTCCGCTAAAGTGACGCATTCTGCGTTGTGGTAAAAAATAAATTAAATTTTTTTTTGTGTTATCTAAAAGACCCAAGAAATGCATTAACTATTAAAAAAAAGTGCCTGATTAGTGTGGGTGTACGTACTCGGGGTTAGGGTGAGGAGATGCCCACACCCAAGCATCTACATCCATTTTAGATTAAAAATCTTTGGTCAGCTTACTTTTTGAAAGCTCGAGATGTTTATATTAAAAAAGCATTGATTTGGTCTAAAATTAATTTAAAAATTATTAGCAATAGTTCAAAATTTATTACAATAAATTAAAAAACTATTACAATAAATTACAAAATCTTTAAAAAGTCAATAAAGGGTAGTATGCTATTACAATCTAAAATATATAAGAAATAATTAAAAACATCTATTATTTAATTTTTTATTAAATATGTGTTGTTTTGATTAAGTAGTTCATTTTAATAGATTACTAAAATCGTGTCTAGTGAAATAAACGCTAATTGGAAAGATTTGTATCGTTAATTACTTTACACAGGTCATTTTCTATTAACCAATAAACGCAGTCGCAAGATCGACTTAAGAGATTTAGTGACTATGTTTTAATTTAACTCAACTAATCTTTGCTTCTTTTAGAGGTTAACATAGAAAAATGAATAAAAAGTATTTTATGTCATAAAGAAAATTATTAATAATAAAAAAACTAGTTCCAAAATAAAATAATTTTGCGTCAAAAACAAATAAACGCAATTAATTCTGTTCCAAGATGGCAAACAGTAGATTGTAGTTTCTTGTATTGTATTACAGTCAAGTTTCCTTTTTTACAAACTTTTTCAAAATGCATGTATAGACATAAATAATCTTTTTTATGTATAGAGAATAATTTTTTTTGAAATGTATGCATATATATATATATATATATATATATATATATATATATATATATATATATATATATATATATATATATATATATATATATATATATATATATATATATATATATATATATATATATATATATATATATATATAATATATATAAAGAGAGAGAGAGATCAATATATAATTGTGTATGTAATTGTGTATTGTCTGTGTGTGTAAGAGAGAAAGTGTGTGTGTGTTTTTACATATGTATATATATGTATATATATGTATGTACATATGTATACATATGTATATATATATATATATATATATATATATATATATATATATATATATATATATATATATATATATATATATATATATATATATATATATATATAATTAAATAGACAAAGAAATAAAAATAAAAAAAGTATAAAAAAAAGTTGTAATTTTTCTACTGACTTTTACAAATTACCAACTATAGACAGGCACTTTTATATGAGAGAAAAGTGAAGAAATGCCTTCTTAAAATTAATCTTATTTTTGTTGTTGTTAAGTTCTGGAAATAAAGATATTATTTTGGTTAAATAAGATATTTTTTTGGTTAGTTTCTTGAAGATTTTCAAGAGTGAGCAGTAGGTTTTATTTTTAAGAGCATCTTGTTTTTAAATTGTAAAATATTTATTTATTAAAAATATATATCAGTTAAACAAATTTTCAAAGAATTAACTACAAACTATGTTTAATGTTAAAAATACAATGTTTTTTTAGAAATATAAATTTTATACATAAAATACCATGGAGTTTGATCAAAGTGATAATGACGAAGAAGATTTTGCAAGTTTTATTTCAGAAAAGAAAAAAAAAGAAAGTCTAGGTTACATAATTTTTTGATTTATTTTCATTGGTAATATATTTTATGTAAGTTAAGAAAGAACAGCTTATATGTTTTGCCCTAAATTTTTAGCACTAGGGCAGTTTTGTCCCCTTTTATATATATATATATATATATATATATATATATATATATATATATATATATATATATATATATATATATATATATATATATATATATATATATATATATATATATATGTATATATATATATATATATATATATATATATATATATATATATATATAAATCATCATTTTTTAATACTTGGTGATAATTAAATCTTTTTTAAAATAAACTGAAAAACATAAACAGTCTTATTTTTATTGCCAATAAAAATTGAAAGTCCAAGATTCACAAAGCAGTCCACAAGCATCTTATTAGAGAATTTTTTATGTACTTGTAATCTGAGATCAATTGCAAAAGGTGTTTCAGCAGCATTTCTAATTTTTATTTTTGAAAAATGTGAGATTTTCTTTTTGCTTTTTTTACAATAATTTGTGTAATAATATTAACTCGGTTATCAATAGATTTTTTCTAAACATATCTTAAACCTAATCACAAAGCTACGCAAACAATAACTTTTCCTAATATCTCTTGAAATAAAAATTTCCCACATTTTTATTCAACATTTTAAAAACTTAACACTTTTTCAATTAGTATACAAATATTTTAAATTTTCTTCAAAAATTTTGTGTTGCTATGATTAAATACATCATATCACACAAAACAAAACAGGGAAAGAGTGACGCTTTAATTTTTTAAATCTTTATCAAACAGGTAACTCATCAATAATATGTTTGCTTGTAACATGTATATGCACACAAAGGTAGTATAAATTGTTAAGCTTTAAAATAGAAATTGCATATAAATTTTTTTTTTCAAGGGTTTTAGATTTTCATACTTCTTTTGTTTACTTGTTTTTAACTTTCTAATTTAAAAATTTCTAATTGATTCTGCTTGAATTTTTTAGATTCTATATCAGGTTGTTTTAATTAAATTTAATCTAATTAAATAACACATTTTTTTTAATTGTTAAAATGGTTAAACTTTTTTTTTTAAAGTTTTGTTTTTTTCAATTTTTTTTGAATTTAAACTGTAAGAATTTTTATTTATGTTTGTTTACTACCTTTATTGTGACCACAGACTACCTAAAATTCTTAAATAAGGTATCAGATATTTCAAGCATCTATTAGCCCAAAAATCTTAAAAATTTTATTTTATTTTGTCTATGGCTTCTTTTCTAAATTTTATTTATGGTTTCTTTCTAACTCCAGTGTGACCACAGACTACTTTATTAATATTAAAAACTTTTTATTAAAAACTTTTTAGTATTTATAAATAATTTTTAATATTAATAATCGGTACTCAGCATCCCTGTTAGTGAAATACAATAACAATAATTGTATAAATCAGATTTTAGTTTGAGTTTAAATTAGTTTTACAAAAAGCAAGTTAGTGCTTTTGGTGTGCATTGCTAAATCCATATAAGAAGCCCTCTTTGTAGCAACTTGATTAGCAGGACTAAGAAAACTATAGTTTGTTGGTTAAGATTCAATAGACTATCATGAGTCAAATTCTGTTATTAATTAAAACATGACTATAATACCTAAAAGTATAAAACAAAAAAACATCTTAATTTTCATTTTGTTTCAACCTACTTTTTTAAATATTTGCAGTCTTCAAAAACTGTTGACCCTGCTAGCACCAAAGCAGGGTTCGAATAGCGTATCGCTTGAAAAGCATATCAAATGGTGTGAAAAGCAAATTGTGATTGTTTTTTACACCTTTGTGATTAGTTTTTTCTTAACAAAAATGTTTTCACAATTTTTTTTTTTTTAATTTTTTTTTCTTTACTAATTTACCATTTTTTTGGCCTTTCTTAAAACTAATGTTTTTGTCTAAGTTTTTTATTTGGAGTCATAAAGTACGTCACACTCAATTTATCTTTTGAATAGAAGTATAATCTTTGCTCTTTTGCGCTGAGATTTTTATTCAACATAAAAAGCTTTTGGATTTAATATACTTTAAATCTCTGCACGGAGGCCAATATTATTTTAAAGTTATATTTAGTTTGATTTACTGAATGAATTAACTACATCACAATAAATTTACCTTTAAACATCAAAACAACCAGTTAAGTTACTACAGTAACTTACAGTTACTCAACTATTAAATTTACTTAATATGCTCAAAGACTTGCAAAAACTAGCCATATAAATGTTTCTATATCTAATATGTTGTTAACACATAATATAAGCTTCTAACTAAAAATTATTTTTACAAGAAATCTTTAATAGAATATAAAAAACGAGATACCATTTTTTAATATTTTATTTAAAGCGATACCAAGATCAAACATTTTCTATAAATACGCAAGTTGTTTTCAGGAATTTTATTTAAAAAGAAATCTATTTAAACAATTTTAAATAGATTTCTTTTTAAATTTTAATTTAAAAAGAAATCTATTTAAAATTGAATTTTAGTCTTCTAAAATTGTTTCAAATAATTTTGTAAATAAAAAGTGAAAAAAATTTAAAAGAATTTTAATGCTCAATAATTATAAATTTAAATCAGCGGAGTCCGTAATACAGAGTCTATAATACCCAGTATAGCGAGAGTTGTTGCTGAAAGTTAAATGTATATCTAGCTACAGTAACAATATTAGATTTAAAACATAGTGCAAGCGACAAAGAAAGTTTTAATTTAAATTATAACGTTTTGAATAGTTAATTATATTTTGCTTCTTGAAAATAGAAACATTCTACTGCAAACATTAAACCAGTGATTGCAAAAATTGAAATAAAAATTTAATTATAAAAAATTAAAATTAAAATTAATAAATTATTTTACTTCTGCTCAAAGAAATATTTTCTAAAAAAATAATTAAAGAGTATGCTTAAACTTAAGGAAATATAATTTGATTTATTAAACCAAATTTTTATGTTTGGCTTTTTATTGCAAAACAATTTGAATGAAAAAATTGAAAGAAAATATTAACTTAAAAACCATTTGAATTAAAAACTTAATTCTACTTGTTGTTAAACACATTTAGAAGCCATTTTGTTTTTAATGTTTTTTTACTTATCAATAATCTCAATGTTTTTATATAAGATTTGTTCACTATATATAGTATTTAAAAATACAACTTGTGACTCTTGTCAATAATTAATGGTCGTTATACGAAACATTATAATAATAAAAATATGCAATGTGTGACTTTTGTCAATAATTAGCCAAGCTAATTATTGACAAATTATTGACGCACATTAAAATCACAACATCTCCCCCAGCTCTACAAGAGCTCATACATAATTGTGATACTTACGGTTAGGAAGTATCACAATAGGCTGTAACTCTGTCTCACAATTTGTTGGATAGTTTTGATCAGCACAGTGCATACTATTGTCATCTTCGCCGTCATCCAGGGAATTTATTTGAGAGCTATTTATTTGAGGATCTGCAATTGAAGATCCTCATATAAATAGTTTTTTACGTTCAACGTGTTTTAAGTTTGTTTCGAGAGGTTTAACCAGTGTCAGATTGTAATTGTCATCAGTTGTTATATCTTCATTGTTTTTGTCTACACAATGATGCTGCAGATGTGAAAAATGTCAAACCTATGTCCGTTGACTTCAACTTCAGCTGTTAAACCATTATGCAGTACTACTATACTTCCTTTTAACCATCGCTGCGTACCAGGCGTCATATGCTTAAACTTTACCCACACTTTATCGCTAACTTTCCATCCTTGACACATATATAGAGACTTTTGTGTTTATTTATTTATTTGCTGTGGTGAGCAAATGCTCACTGAGTGGTAATCCACTTTAGCAGCAAGTTTAAAAACTACAATTTTAAATTTTAATTCACATAATAAAGTTCATCAAGACTTTTTTTAAAATTTAACACTGACTTATTATTTTCAACATCAAATAACAAATTGTTCTAAATTGGAATAATGCGATTGGAAAAAAATTTATTCTACTTGAGTGTCTACAGGTCTCAGAAGTATATCTATAATTGTGGATATAGTTCCAGCTGGTCCAGTTGGTTGAACACTTCCAGCTGGTCCAGTTGGTCGAAAAAAGTTCCCTAAGGAAGATACTATATTTAGCTGATCATTTAAAAAAGTTAATTAAATCGCTTCTTTCTCTTTTCATAGATAAGGTTGTTAAATTAAGTCTATTTAATCTTTCCTCATAAAGAAGCTCTGAATATCCTGGAATTAATCTTGTTGCTCTATGTTTTACTCCTTCAATATGAGTTATGTCTTTTTTTAAAAATGGATTCCAAATAGAAGATGCATATTCTAGATGAGGGCGTATATATATGAATTATGTCTTTTTTAAAAATGGATTCCAAATAGAAGATGCATATTCTAGACGAGGGCGTACTAGTGAAACATATAACAATTTAAATATATCAGCATTTAAAAATGAAAATGTGTGTCGATAAGACCTAAAGTTCTATTTGCTTTAGAAACATAAGTAGATATATGATAACCATATTTCAGATCGCTTTTAAACATGATATCAAGACTATTTATACAGTCCACAGTACTCAATTGATAATCAGAAATGTAATATTTATTGATATTTTTATTTTGATATTTTTTATGGGGCTCACAGTGGCTGGTGAACTTTAATTCAGATAAAACTAAATTTTTTTCAGACAATCGCTATCGCAATAATTTAGACCTTCCTATATTTATGAACAGTAATGTACTCGATGAGTCTCCTACCCTTCATCTTCTAGGATTAACTAACTTCTGATCTTTCTTGAAAACCTTATATCAAATTCGTTAAAAATTAGCATCTGCTAAAGTCGCTTCTCTTTATCGAGCTCGTCACTTTCTTACTCTGGATTCTATTCTCTATCTCTATAAATCTCAAATCCGGCCTTGTATGGAATACTGTTGCCATATCTGGGGTGGATCTTCTAATGATGCCCTTTCTCTTTTAGTCAAGGTGCAAAA